TTGTCCAGTGTTTCTGTAGAGATCCATTCCTTATGATGGTATTTCTTTAGACCGAAAACCTCTTGACACGTTGAAGTTAATGCTTCCTTGATGCCTTTCCAGTTGTCCTCCATAGTAGTTTCTTCTTCTTCCAGTAGATCTTGTAAGGCTTGGAACCTGTTGTTGACAGCTATCTTGAATTCATTGAGTTTGTCAGTATCTCGAAGGAAGGCTGTATTGAACCTTTGTATTGCTGTTTGTCCACTTGTCCAGTTCATTTTTAGCTTGAGTTTTAAATTGGCTACAACTAGGTGGTGATCTGAAGCTACGTCAGCACCTCTCCTGGTTCTCACATCTTCCATTGTCCTTCGGAATTTTTTGTTGATGCAAATATGATCTATTTGGTTCTCTGTAGTGTGGTCCGGTGAGATCCATGTAGCCTTGTGTATACACCTGCGTGGAAATATTGTGCCTCCTATGACCAATTTGTTGAATGCACATAGATTTGCAAATCTTTCTCCATTTTCGTTTCTTTCTCCCAGTCCATGGCTTCCCATAATATCTTCATATCCAGTGTTGTCTATTCCGACTTTGGCATTTAGATCTCCCATCAGAATAGTTAGGTCCTTTCTTGGGCATTTCTCAATGATTGACTGCAGCCGCTCGTAGAACTGATCTTTAATTTCGTCGTTGCTATCATTGGTGGGTGCATAACATTGGATAATATTCATTAAGATCCCCTCCTTCTTTGTTTTGAATGATGCTTTGATGATTCTGGATCCGTGAGATTCCCATCCTACAAGTGCATTTCGTGCTACTTTGGACAGCATAAGAGCGACTCTCTGAGTGTGTGGAGCATTGTCCTCTTCGTGACCGGAGTATAGCAGCATCTCTCCCGTAGCTAGCCTTTTCTGTCCAGCTTGGGTCCAGTGGGTTTCATTGATTCCCAGTACTGCTAAGTTGTATCTCCTCATTTCCATTGATATTTGACTGGTCTTCCCGGTTTCCCACATTGTTCGAACGTTCCATGTACCTATAAAAATTTTTGCTCTGTTTGTTAGAAGGGGCATCGGCCTCGTAACTTTCGAAGGAATTCGGCTTTCATCATGAGGCGTCATAATTCTTCTAAATGAAGACTTTCTGACTCCCAGGGCAGAGTTTAAAAGGTTTGAATAATTTTTTCTTGTTAGCGTTTTTTTAGCGAGTTAGTTTTCTACAGGATGGGGACGCTAACCCCATGCCCAACCCTCCTCCTTTATCCGGGCTTGGGACCGGCAGTAGCCCCCGGAGGGACTCCAGGCGGAGTTACTAGGATCTCTGGCTGTAGTTTAATGTTACTCTTACAAATATCAATAGATGGATCACCCAACATAAAAGTTTGTATATTTAGCGAATCGATTATTCAAGTTAATATAACTTTACAATTATATCATAGGCAGATTTTGGTTAAACAATCATCCAAAAACCAGAAAGATTTCGATTCCCGTTTCTTCCTAGTATGGGACTAATTAGCATTGGAAACCATGAGTTCCAGTACCTTCAGATTTCTCAGGATACAAGTTACCTTTATACAATCGAACGGATATTTAATATTTCAACTAATATTCTCGGTATTCCGATAAGAAACCGTGACTAGTGCTGTTTAGCCATATCGGAGATGTGACAGATATCATGACCAATAATGTGTGAACATCACACAATATCATGAACTCGTTGAACCATAGTATTTGAAGCTCGATAGTCTAAAGATAACACATTAGTAGTGATCCGTGACTTTTAAATAAAATGTCCATATGCATGGAAAAAAATAATTAAATTTGATTAATTTTATATAAATGGAGAGATATGTGGACGATGGAAATGTGAGATTTCGGACCAGTAGGTTAATACAAATTACATTGTTGGAAAGGATATTTTATGAAGGCTCAATATAGTGTTGAAATACATCCATGATTTGCATTGAGATCATAAACCGAATAATGTTAGACCACTATTGAAAACATGAAAGCACTCAATAACCGTTTAATCTCAGTATGAGACACTTCAGAAGTGCACATCCATGATACCGCAGGTAAGACTCAAACTCGAAATCGATTTCGCGCGAGATCGCCTAACGTCTAGACCACATTGGTAATTGTTTTAAATCACTGAATCATCATCCAGTTACGTAAAGTTATGGTTCTCAATGCTAAAGCTAGATGTCCGGGGTGAGATTTCTGGCATCATAGCAATTCCCGTAGTAATGGTGAGTACCAAACTGCGACTGAATAGTCATCCAGTTCCCTTTTGTTTTCAGTAATTCAGCTCGTGATGAGAATTGTCTATGAATAATAATGACTTATTTGTTCTTTAAGTCTTTCAAAACACTTTTTTCTACTATATACATTGATAGTCGTAAATACAAAATATGTACATGAACCTTATATGTGAGTTAATCATTTATGTTTTTTTTTTCACATTTTCAAAATATCGATATTATTTCGGCAAGAATTTTACTTCATTAACTAAACAAAGTACGCCATTCATACTATTTCTGTATACCTATGCTCAGAATTTATTATTATCATTAATTATAAATAACAATTATTAACCTGGTTAAAATGTGAATGTTTGTATTATCTAACTGTTCGCTATTGTTAAATTTTGTGTCGTTAGACAATATGACCTTTGTTCATAGTCTTAATAAGTTATTAATATTAATATTAATATTATTATTATTATTATTATTATTATTATTATTATTATTAATATGGCTATGGTTTATACGATGTCCATCACTCAGTTTCAATGATAATTCAATTCATGTTTAGTTGATTACTGAATAAAACCATTTCAATTTCAACCCATCATACTTTGAATGATGTAGCATAAAATTACAAAAGACATATCACATTGAATTCTAGTATATACATGTTTAGGTAGTTATGTGATTAAATAGGTTTTATTGCTGATAATCACTTAAACGGTTTGTATATTTGTTTAATACAAATGTAATTTCATCAAGTACTGATGTCAGCTGAGGAGCCATTCATGACCAAGCAATATTAGATAGTTGCTCTATCATAGTTATGGAATCTTCAACAGACTGTTCAACATGATATTAGGTCTAGAACTTCAAGATCTCACCATAAGCACGTGTATACATGCTTTAAGAATATATATGGATGTATAAAACGTTTATTAACATAACTATGGTAAACATAAGAGAACATATACTTTTGTACAGTCACTTAGTTTCCTTTGATGTATTTAAACCACTCTTGTTGAAATTCTTGGTGAATCCACTTATAAGTATCAATATGTGAGAATCTAAGAGAAAACAATTAGACATTTTATAATTAGAGAGAAGTTTTGTGGATATTATAGTAATTTTATAATTGAATTCATGAGTCACTTGAAGCTAGACCACCATGGAAGCACTGGACGGCCGTTTCGCCCCAGTGCGGGGCTCCTCAGTAGTTCGCATCGATGATCCCACTCGAACCCAGGACCTATTAGTCTCACGTTCAAATGCTTAACCTCTAGACCACTGAGTCGGCATCCAACTGTGTTAATGTCTAACTTCAACCAACCAATGAAATTGAGCCGCCGTTCATCATTGTCCTCAGTGAGTTATTATCTCACAACCGACCCGGTTGAACTCCAACTCCACTGGTCGCTGCTTCTCACTAGAACCCCAGGGAATACCTCTTGAAGTTAGTTACTAGTGATTTATTGAAAATCCTAATACATTTTATCAACAAATTATGAATCAATTGTATAAAATATATCTTCACGTAAATTTTACGCAACTTGTTTTAAATATTTATTATTTCATATGTATTTTATTCACATAAATCATACCAGAAATCATAATAATGATGATATAGACATTTATAATGTGATGCTAGATATGAATCTACACTCTAATGGGAAACCTTATGACCAAAGTGTTATCATTTTTAACCACTGGAACAAGAGTAGGTAAATGTGTCTTTAATTGATAGCATTAACCCAGATACTAGTCAGGCATGTGGTGAGTATAAAATTCCAAAGCGTTCTTAATAAAGATACTGACATAGGACTTTTATTAATGAAACTAAAATTATATTACTCATTAACTATCATTCATCCGATTGTGAATTTTGGAGCCTTAATTCCATAGATGAAAGTGTTTAAAAGCATTCAGTTCATTTTCCCACTATGTAACAAACAATGAACTGACTCTTTCTGTGTTATAGTTGCTGATTATTTAATAATCAAAATATGAATAGCCTTAAATTTAGTATACATTATCCATTCAGTTAAGTGCAGGTATTAGCAGTTAACATATCTTTGATATGAAGAAATAATACTGATAACTAAAACTTACTAACTAATGACTCTACTGGTAAGAACTAGTTTAATCAGATATCAACATTTTAATCTTTTAGTTGATGAGGTTTCAATCCAGATACTTCGGTACTGCTTCATACTACTACTATTACGTAGTTCGAATAGTCTTATTAGATAATCTGTTTTTTATTTATTCTCTGAAGTGACTTACACTAAGTCACGAAACGTCAGAAAATCTAATTTTCTGCTCATTGGGATATTACAAATATATTATTTATTTATAATCTGTTCTACGGTTGAACTAAACACCATAAACCATTTTTCTTTTGAGTACTTGAATTTGTTAAATAGAAATCATCTAAGTTTTATTTTTCATGAATAACAATTAATTCTTTATAGCTCATTGAGACATAAAGTGCAAGAGAAGTTCAACAATATTTATTATCTATTAGTGCTAACCGATTGTGATTAGTTCATAGTTTCCGTGTATCAGATCACTTGATCACATCAAAACATTACAAGATGTAGAAAAGTATTTTAAACAATCTAATGTTACTGAATTCTTACTGTTACATAGTAGTGCTTTTAGAGTAATACTGAATACTGTCAAACCAAATTTCTTAAAAGATTTTATTTCTAAATAATTTCATAATATAATAATTATTATTACTGTTATTTTTTTTTCTCAATACATTACTTAATTACAGAAAGAACAAAGGGCTACAGTTATTATAGCCGTAGCGTTAGTAGCAATTATCACAATTTGTGTGATTTTAATTATTCTACGAACATTGAGAAAGAAATCGAATAAAACATCCCGCGGAGTAAGTTGTTTCTTTTCAAAATTTAGCTATACTTTTTATTGACTAGAAATTTTCACTTTAAACAATCATCTTTTATCAAAGTAATTTATTAAACAAACTGATTATTTACATGACTGTCTAGCAATAGGTTCAAGAAATTTATCAGAATTCATTAAAATATAGGATAGTTTAAAATTCCTGGAACCACTCTATGTATTGACATTCAGGTTGTGAGATCTCAGTATACAGCAGAAGACTGACATTGCCGACAAATTGTATAGTCTGTAATAACTCATCAACAAAATATAAGGGTCAGTGATTGTTTCATTGACAACTATTTCTGATGTAAACAATTTAAGCTCAATGCACAATATTCAATTAAGGATTACGATCAATTCAAATCTGGAACACTAAAAAATAGAAAGAGATGTTTGTTCAGTTCATATGAATATACACTTTAGATCTGAATTCATGTATAATTGAGATCTGTTACTTTTCATTTTGACGTCCTCAAACCACTAAAATTAAATAGTACACATATATGAATCAGTATATGAAACCGTAAATCATCTTCCTTACATAGTTGGGAATACTGGATAAAACAGTCGCATGAAAATAGGGTTATGGACTGAAATTAATCGACGACGTTTTTGAAGTACATAACCTACCTACACATTTTTTGTTTTAGTTTCCGATTACGAACCAAAAGAAAACATTTCAATCCGATAAAATTAACAAAGTAAGTTATATATATACTGAACAAACGGTTGTTGTGAATAAGCTACACTCACTATCAACATTTTCGATATAAACAATTAATGTAGTTGCCTACTTCAAGAAAATTTATGACGGACGACTCAGTCTCATTTTTCAACCCTAATGAACACTCCTATCTAATATAGTGCTAAGAGTGGTAAATAATCTTCAGAGCGCCAGTTTCCGGAAACTAGAGATAAATTGAACCTCTTTCCTATCGCGGAAATGAAGTCGTCCATACGCAATCGTAGAGCACACCTTTCTCTTACTGCTGATCGGCTGAAAATACCATTCCAATTAATTCGACTTGAACAATCCAGTAGTACAACTGTCCACTACGCAATGTATGACACAAAGCTGAATATATAAATCTACGTTTCAACACTAAGTTGTGTTATAGTAATATTACATGACTCAAGCTATGTATTGGACCTCAAAATGGACTCTGACACTTTCGAAGCAGTAAGTACAAACCCACCATTTTGGTAGGGTTTAGAGCAGACTAGTGGCCGACAGTCAATTACTGAACTGTGCACACTTGCATGGAAATCGACGACATATAAGTTATTTGCAACCTATGAGAGTTAAATGTTCGTCTACACTGCCAGTTGTTGTTGATTAAAGACATCCCTTCTATATTGCACAAAGTACTAGTTCAGGGGCCTGTTATTCATTAGGGAAATTCTGCATTCAATATTGTTCACTTATTTATCTTGTCGAGCAGTCGGAAGGGAACTCGGGACACATCTTCGTCAGCAAACCTTACGTGGAATCTTTGAGGAGTTGATGCTTCAAGATTTAAACCTATAATGACTACCTTCAGTCTTCCACGTCACCATCAAGCTATTTGGATAGCGACTAAGACATTCAATGACAGCTCACAGAGCAGTAAACAATGTAATGTAACTCAAATGACCCAGGTGTTAACCACATAAGTAGCATCGGTTGACCTTCATGACAAGTTCAGAAGCAGCTGGGAAATATATCAATCCTACCCAGCATCCAAGCACAGTACATGTGATGTTATTTCTATCAGACTGATTGCCAAACTGAAACTCGACTAACAGAATCCGACCAAGAGTGAGGGAAATGACGTTATTCACTACTCACTGACCTGTCTAAGTGCATGAATCCTGAGTTTTACTGTAGACAAAATATCGACTAAGTTTATCTACGGGATTTACATGCCACCATTACTCACTAAAGCCATGAAAAAACTGACCGTTCTATAAAGTTATAACCTGTGCATATTCTTCCAAAACCATGATAAGGTTACTCAACCGCGTACCGAGGACAAGTAAGCAAATATAAGACAGAATATGCGACACAACCGAGTGGACTGCATAGATAACACTGGAGTAAATAAGTACTTTCCACTTGGGATCTTAAGCTTCACCAACACGAAATATTAGATTAAAAGTGACCTTTGATTTTACAAAAATCTACATAAATTCCTACTCAATACAACTGACTAATGTTGATTGGTAGAAAGAATAAGACCACTTTAGATTAGGTATGAGTATGATTTGATATCGAAAGTACCCAAATGTATAAGATGGAGTTTAAATTACGTGACATTCTCTTTGATGCTGAGGCGACTAATCAAACATACTAGATGATTCACGATAAATGTACATGCAACCTGTTTCGCGAAGATCGGCAATACTATTTTGTTAAACGAAATGTTGCAAATCAAGATTAATGCAAGTTAAACTTTTTTCTGAACATTGCAGGTAGAAGAGAGAGGAAATTATTCGTGTATGTCCAATGATAACCATAGCGAACCTAAGTGGATTATGCAGCAACAATTAACAGTAGGCCATACATCTGATAGGATAAGGAAAGTCCCGACAAGTAAGTTTAAGCGTAACTCATAAAGAACATCTTCGGTATCTTTTTTTTCCAATAGGAAACCCCGAAAACAAGAAATGGTACGATTCAGCAGCAATTCCTTTTATGGATGATGTCTCTTCATCGACGGACAACCTGCACACAGATCAACTTAAGAATCAACAAATATGATTAGATGTATATAGCTTCAGTATGTAAAGATAATCACTAATAAGTTAATGTGTAATTATTGAGTCTTTTTTTATTAAGATCAGCGATCAAACGTTTTTGTTAGATATTACCCCCAAATGCCTTGGTATGACCGAGTGGGGTGGGCCCGCCCGCCCTCTCGAAATGCTCTCACATGACCACGCGTATATAGCCTCCGCCAGGGAAGTCCTACTCACTGCCTTCTCGCACCACGGGTGTTGTTTACGAAATTGAGAGGACGAAAAGCGAACGTCCGGCGCTTTAACCGGGTCGGTAGACATGGAGAGTTCAGTTAGAGGAGTTGGAAAACCCTGATTTCAATGGTGCACATGGGCTCCAGGATCCTGAAGGGACAAATAGCGTATGAACCAATCGTTGGTCACCGACTACCATGGGACTGAATCTCTTTACGATGCTCCACTGCCTTGTGGATCAGACATGTAGGTGGAAGGCTCCAGGTGTGGCCCCCTAAGAAAACCACCTGGTTCGGTTTGGGCACCCGGGCAGTATCACAGTCCGCTCACAAATCAAGTGAGTTGTGTGGCGCATGTGTATTCGGTGCCCCTTTGTACTAATATTTGTGTTAAAATATAAAATAAATAATAAATTTTGTTAGATAAGTTATTCGTATAAGAAACCGAAATTCGATGCGTGTATTTTATTCCAAGAAAAACAGCTATATTGTTACTGCTTATCGGAAAATCATGTGTATTTTTGGAAGAATATAATCAATGAAACAGTCAGTTACACAAACTTAAATGTCCACGGAACAACGATCTTCATACAGAGAAATGTAAACTTAGCTAAATGCCGTAAGAGAATAAACAAGAGAAATTATTATACACAAGCTTTAAAGAAGTCGTTTTAAAACTAGTCAATATGATTTTTCTCTTTAAATTCATTTATGTTTGATTCATTGACTTGATGATCTGAAATAAATGTCCGCAAATCCTCTATGCATCGTTGGCCTCTTTCATGTAGGATTTCTTTGAGCATCGGCATAAGACGGCTTTCGAGATCTTGATCTTTGCTGAAATATAGATAGTAAAGATTAACACCTTTTCAGATGGGAGAAATAATCCATATGTAAAGTAAAGTCAGTTTTCTGGTAAAAAAAATTTTAAACATTTATTTATCTAACAATCTTACCATTATAACAGGTCACTAGAAAAGGAAAAATTCTGAATTCGTTAAAACAAACAAGTTATTGAACTTGCAAAGGGTCGTATATCAGGTTGGATGAGAAAATATATGGCCGTTGTATGAATGTCGTCACTGGAACAACGAGAAACTCAAATGATAAAAATGATGGGAACTTGACAAACAGGATGATTAAGACTATTAGAGTTCGAATACTGAACACTAAGAGATATTCAGCCATGTAGTTTTCCACATACAATATAAGTTAATGTTATCCTAAAATATGAAATACACAAGTAGACAAGCAGAAAGAACATAGGATCTGAGACAGGCATTGGTTAAAGATGTTGCAGATCACATCTTGTCTCGTCATATATCATTAAAGGAAATCAACAAGAGGGAAAGCAAAGAATTGGAAGAAATTGAGAAAAGTGAAAGTCCAAAGAATTAGAGGACTTGTGTTGCAATAATACGACTAAGTTTTAAATGGGGATAGAAAATAAAAGTAAGTGGGTAACTGCAACCAATCACGAAGTCTGCATTTCCTTACATAGTTTGGATTAGTAGCTAGTAGCTCCACATAATTTCTTGGTTCCTCTTTCCTAACCCACTTTTACTCTGACATCAGCATAGCGCAACAAGGTGGGAGACGGTTGACCAAATGTGACCACATATAAAACCTAACATCCACAAAGTTATTGGTCGTTTGATCACTTGCATAGAGTACACTACACCTAAAAATCAAGATTGTTCATCAATCCCATCACAGGTTACCAATGCTGACCACACTGACCAAATTATTTCAAGCACGTTCTCTAGGTTTACAGTCCATGACTCACATCAGTAAGCTCACGCAGAACAGTGTTGAACAATGTACTCGTACTTTGTCCAGATGTAAACAAATGTGTGCACCAAATATCGAACTTAACATTGTTCGACATAACTTAGTTGAGTATATGACAAACAATACTGGTAAGATATATATCCGTTCATAGTAGGTCACACATATCACAGGGGTGATAGGTGTTAGTAACTTTGATGAGCCTAACATAAAACACCATAGGTAGATTCAACAGTTTTTGATAATCAAAATACGAATTGCATTCGCCAAGAATTCGGATTATTGTCAGACTTTCTTTACGGGTTTTAAAAAATATAAGTGAATCGTCTTTGCAAAGGGTGATTGAGCACTGGAATTCAACCTCATAGAACTTCATTAAAACAGACCCAGCAATTGGTGCAGAAACTTCTCATTTACCAAGTGTAACAAGTATAGCCTCATGTTAATTAGCGATATACAGGCGTAGGGAGAGACAGCTACTGCGCAATGTAAGGAAAAATAAAAAAAGAATCTAGCCACTTACTTTTGTAGAAAACAGTAGTTTTACACATTGACATTAGAATAAAATGATTAATGCATAAAGTAGACAATGGATGGCGACAATTCAATAATTGCAGCATCAGAACGAGCAACACGAATAATGTGAAAATCATCAGCCAATCGAGGTAAAATATACATTATTGCCAGGTTCGATAAAACACGAACGAGGATGAAAGTAAGCACCCAATCAACAATTGTCTGACCAATCAAAACATTCTACAAAAGAGCAAACGCCAACTGGAATTGTAGGCGTAGTTGAGTGTATATTTAAATTACACAACCAGCATGTGGCCCGTTAACAGGTAGGCACCGTACGAGTCTCAGACATATTGGCTGGCATCTAACGTAATTATTCATATTAATATCCATTATTTATAAATCAATTCACTGTTCCATACTCTGAAGGTAAGAAATCAGCCCTTATCCGTAGGCAGAGAATATTGCCATGTAATGCTAAAATTGCCAAAGCACAGATTTATATTAGATTTAAGCGTAAGAAGAAGGATACATTACGGACACAAATAAAAATTACCTTATTAGCATGCGAACGACTGTAGTGAATGCCTCGCAATCCCGTTTATAATCCTTTTAATATATTAAAGCATTAAAAATAAATAGTTACCTCTGCCAGGGCATCTTTACGATCACGAATCAGATTCATTACATCATCTGAACAATCACCTGACTCATTTTCTTCATTATTGAAAGATGATGCAGAGCCGACGGTAACTGACTGATTGTTACCTAGAATTCAGAAGCAATACATGGCACATTAAGTCAGTCAATAATCTGGTAAACAACGCTAATTCATCTCGAACGTTATGATTAAGTCTACTTAACAAATAAGAGACTGACCACCCAAACAAGATTAAACACCAAACCTCTCGAATGTATACCACTAATGAAAATTAGTTCGAAAATGGAACCATGACTTGATGGTCAAAACATTCGACCTCTAATCAATATTACACGAGTTTTAACCAACTTATTTACGTCGTCTAGGTAGTCATTTAGTACAACCAATCCCTACATTAAGTGTAGTTTGAAACTGTACCTGGTAAAAATAAGCTCATTAGATCATACCGTGACTGAAATTTTTAGATTTAATGAAGTGTAACGATCATAGGTTTTGATGAAATTTGTGACACTTAAAAGACAATTTGCCGATTACATGTGCATTTTATCTTGAGGACAAAAATAAAAGTAGAACATGAAAATTGAATTGTCATACTATGATCGTTAAAATATTGTCGGGAAAATGCCCCGGAACTACGGCATTTGGTATGACAGGAGATAATATTGCATATTTATGTTCATTTTTGTCTAGTTAACTAATAATGGATAGGGTTCTTTGGATTAATCTTTTATTATGTAATATACAGCACTTTTATGGAACTGATAAGTCTTGTGCATGTGTATACACACATGTTACTCAGATGCTTAATGGACTGAAACGAAACGAAAACTGATGTAGATACACACTGAATGGTAAGCTTAGAGTTTTTTATACGACAGGAAAATTGTTGAGTGTAGTTTGTATCTTGCCGAAATTAGTCAAAGTAAGCCATTTGGTTGTCTTATACACCGACGAATTTTAATGTGATATTATAGGGAACGAATTGTGACTACAACTAGTTAGATCTTAACCATAAACAATGCAACGTGAAAACGAGTTTAGTTCGTTTAATAGCAGAATATACAATCATTTTACACTCAACAAAACTTATCAGCAGTGTGTAAACATACAATAGCTAACTTTCGAATTTCTACTGGTTGACTTACATAAGTAGACAGAAAATCTGAAGGTCTACTGTGTCTATAAAACCTACCGAATGAATATTTCAATGAAAATTCCCATATATATTGCATTTTATATAATGTACGATTGAGTGCAGTACAAAAGAAAGTACTGATAATAAGCTGCATATACATTGATTTTCCTCTTAGTATAGATGAATCTAGCTTGATTTATAAACAAATAAACTTTATTTAATCAGACATCAGGACCAAAGTATCCGTTCATAAACCATTATATCTGAGGTATCGGATCCACTATAGTTTATTTATTTGGTTAAATGCACTGACCAATAACAGAGGTTTTAATATATTCTTGTTAATTTCCAACTGATTAATATATTTGACTGCAGAAATTTGAAAGTGGTTGGAATTTTGTCCTGCTGATTCTCATAAATGCTATTGTTCAAGTGAAACGATTAAAATACTAATGTTTTTAAAGTTAAACAAAAAACAAAGACCAAAAGTAATAAATGCTTTGCATCATTTCTGACAAAATATAGTCTAATTTGGAATAAAATCGAACTGAGTGGATAGTAGTGAACGACTCGTATTAGGAGTTACATCCTACATCTTAATCACGTAAAGGCTGGTTCCTATATTCGTAGTTAATTAGGTAAATACTCACATTTTCAGAACAGATCACATGAACACTAATTTGCAAAGAAAATCGCAGGTGAAAAAGGTATTGAGCCCGTATTTCATAAAATGAAATACTCATTAGATATACCAATTGGTTAAGCACAACCGATATTAAATGACTTTGAAAGCATAAAATGTCCTATCATCATGTGTTTAAACTATGGTATATATACGCCGTGGATAGTGTCTTATTATAACAGCACATTAAGCAACTGAATAAATGCTACGTGGGAGCCTTTTGTTTAATTCTCTTACAATTCTATGCATTAACAATTGACTATGATTTTTGGTTATCAGGGTGGTTTGACTAAATCTTTAAAGAAGTTAATAGTTGCTAAATTGATGACACATTGTTTGTCCGAGCGGAATCGAAATACCCTGTTCCAAGTCATGAAAATATTGTCTATCTGCTCATGTAGTCGGTCATTATAAAAAAACATTTACTTAGGAAATTTCCGTTTGATTAACAGGAAAAACTTAATTATTGCTGTCAATCAAGGAATCAAGTAAAGATGTATGTGACCGCATATCTCGTTAGGACACAAAAATCAAACTGTTGCACTTTTCCTGTTTGAGACAACATACTTATGACTTAAAGTGAGGTTGTAAATGTCTCATTTTAGGAAGTGATATCAGTCTGTGTTTTAATAAGCTATCGTAAACAGAAAGGAGACCTGATTTTGAGAAATTTCAAGTTTCCCACAAAAAGAATTAATCCTACAATGAAAAACAAAATAGTCAAATGTCTACAGTACAGAATATTTTGTACTCCAGTAAAAAATTCAGTAGTTAATCGCGACCCTTGAACTACAATCACAGGTGTAAGGAAAGCAAACAATAAGATATTAGCATAACTTACTGTTTGAGGATGAACTGGACTTTTTAATTAACGGTTTCAAAGATTCTTTTGCTTTAATATTGTTATTTCTTGAGATGGTCACTTGATTACCATCAACTTTCGAAGCATCCGAATGATCATTATCGCTAGAATTATTTGCCGATGAAATGGCAGACTTTTTCTTTAGCTTAGCCGATTTATTGATAGTTGAGGGCCATTTTTCCTTTTTATGGAGATGGTCATCGTTGACTTCATCTTCTGGAGTTCGCCAACGTTTGGTTGCACGTGATGTTAAAGACAGTGGAGAACGTGCAGTATCCGAGCGTCGAGAATTCTTCGAAGTACTTTTTTCAATCGTTGGGGGAGAATCTTTAGTTGTAGATTTTTTATCTGCTTTGACAGCACTTGGTCTCTGTTTACGATCGGCATTTGTTTGACGTATTGTTGTTGAGTTTTCGACTCTTGGTGTTTTTTGAAGACTGGTTCTTTGAGTTTTACTTCGAGTATGGGGTGGCTCAGGGAGAGATTCTGTGCTGCTAATGAATTTGTTTAAAAACACGTTATAAAAGATGCATGCTAATAAAAGATAATTAAGCCAAGGCCCAACAGAATAAAGTAACTGAAAACGGTTCATAACATATCGAGTATGTCGTTGAAAAAGAGAATACGAGTCTTGTTTTTTCCAGATAGTTTTACTGACGCCTGACTTTCGTTCCCTGGTTCATGAGTTTATCGAGCACTAATGATCGCTTCGCCTTTTCTATCTCTTTTACTGTTATTGCCCACATCCTTCTACAGTCAATGCGTAAACCTAATGTTAAAGTACATTGTTTTTTATCGTTTCCCGAACCTCCCAAGATTTCTTCAAATAGTATTTCCCAAAATTCCGATCCGAGTTGCAGACAGCAATCACTTTTGTATTTATCTTCTAGGATATCATGTCAAGCATCATTGAGATGGAGTCTCTTTTGCGATCACATTCTTAATATTTTCGTTCTCCAATTACAAACTAAAGTTTGTGTTCTTACTTTTTTGTGTGGAAACGTATGCTTTCAGTAGAGCGTTATCGGAGTCCAAACATGTACTTCTGTAGGACGGAAAGTCTTCTATCAAACCTTTCCAATGATAGCTGATTTCTGATGACACCCTATGGGCAGGTAATCAAAAACTCAACTATCAGTCCATCTTAACCTTGTGAAAATGTTTTGCCTAAATGTATTTGCTTTATGCCGTACACTTAATACCAAAAGTAGTGAATCCAGAAAAAATCTGTGGTAATAAATACTCGTAATCTTGGTTTTAAGCACTGCTTTTAAAATGCACGAAACCAGTAAGAATAATGAAAATCTAGAAATACGCTTGATAAACAGTATTGATACTATACTAAAATTTCTCCTCAATTATGTTGACGAATATCACAATGCCTAAAGAATAAAACTAACAGTTAGATCATCGACTGGCGGATGAGTGACCGACGAGTCAATTTCCTTCATTTGACAATGACATTTTATTACGTTTATTGTGTTTATATTTCGTAAATAACCATGTTTTTTTATTACATGAGAAATTATTCATTTGGTTAGTGATTTAGATTTTGCTTCCAATTATTACGGGGGCTTACATAACTATTACGGTATCGTGAGTACCCATTACTGTCACATTATATCGTAGGCTTCATTAATCGACAAACATCCTATTTACTGATTCTAACAATCAACAATCTCTTTTAACAAAATAACAGGAAACCGCCACAACACAGGAGATGGACAGAAAGTTGAAGTCACAAGGCGCAAAATGTTAGACACTTAAAAAACAAAATATGATTGTTCAAAACACGTAGTTGACTACGCCGCAAGTTACCAGTATTCGATCACAGATGTCTCAGAAATATTGCTCACATCTGTTGGGATCACCAGGCAAGTAATAGTGAGGTTCGATGCAAAGCATTAGAGAATGATGACAAGTCAGTTGATGAGGCTCTGAATCTACATCAACTGAGATGGTTGGGCCACGTATTATGCACACTTAACTACTGATTACCACGACGCGCAATGCTGATTAGTGTTGAAGACGGTTGGAAGAAAGTTTGGGGCGACCAAACCAAAACGTGGCATCAGTTCTTTAAGTCACTAACTTTTCGTCTGGGCTATGTTGGCAGATACAGACTACTTGGTTGGGGTCCGCGTTTTTTAACCACTGGGTCGTAGGTTTGAACTATTTCTTTTATTTTGGTTTGTGTAGTATCGGTTATAGCCGACAACACGAACAATTATTTGATTAGCATTGAACTGAAACCGATAAGAATGAAAATTTGTCGCTCATTGAGGCAGCAATCCTTTGCTTTACGCAGTCGACTCAGAAACTGCATCACAAGTTTGATTTAGCCTGGGCAACCAGATAGTATTACTAGCCTTCCATAATACACGTGATCTGGAGTCACGTACCTAATTGGTGAATTGAATTGTTTCGCTGCACCAATAAGTAAAAGAGTAAGGATAATAACGACCAATTTTGCTTCGAATGATCTGTAATTAGTGTGGACACTTGAAACAGGAACTTCGACACAACGTCCTAAGAGTAGCAGTGGGCCCAGTAGACTCACTAGTCGGTATTTGATACAACTTCCGAAGAGGAATATTTAAAGAAAATACGCCAGGTTTTTAGCGAGATGAACGAGGTGAATAATAGCAACACGTGTTCGGAAAGATAATTGATAAACGTTGGGACTAAAATGAATTTACTTAAAACGAAATGAATGTTAAAATCCTTGACGTCCAATATGTCATATACTGGAAAACCGCTTAATCTGGTTAGACTTTTGTAAAGAAATAGAGCATCAAGCCTCTACATAATAAAACTGAACTTGTATTTAGTTGCTGAGGTGTGTGGTACACCAAGTAGGATGCCAATATTAGCTGCATAACTTGATTTCAGTTGAGCATGAAAACAGCAAAGAAAATAAGTTTGAAAAGTTATTTCTAAAAAATTTTTGAAAACTACCGATCAAACCCCTTAAAACTTATTTCCATCAGTGACCACTACAGTTCATACAAAAACAATCAGTAAGTTATCATACTCAGTTTACTGCTGATTTAGTCAGGAAGTTTGAAAAACGCAGCACGACAATTGGGGCACCAAATTGGATGTGAGTGTAATAAGTTGAAGATCTAGAAAATCATTTAGAATAAATATACATTAAAATATCTGACATTCTGAAGTGAGACTGAAGATTAAATTTAATTACTTGTTGGCTGGTGAATGGGTAATCCTTGTTTTTCTACGTTTCTGAGATTCGACTGAAGGTTGGTTCTTTTCATCACTATTTGAAGCGGCTTCAGTCTTGGACTTGGTGGTACGATTACGAACGTCATTGTAGGGTGGTGAAATAGAATGCACCCGTTTGCGTCCACTGCGATTTCTAGGGGAATCAAAAGCACCATTGGAACTGGCGACCGAGGCACCTGAAGATGAATTTTCTGAAGAGTGGCGTGTTCTTCTGGAAAAACTGCCACCTCGAACAGATATCTGTTCAAAACCCTGTCGAACATGGCGTCTTAGTTGTATTAGTCCACTTACCAGTGAAGACCCATCTTCCGGATTAGGAGCAGGAGCATTTGAGAAAGCAAGGTTTCGTTCGCTCATTGAGGGTGACCCTGGAAAATACAAGAAACTTATTAACGTACGATGAGTGATCTCAAATAACGAAACAAAAAAGTCACATAAGACGCGTAAAAATTGAAAAACTGAAGGGACTTTGTTGCACGTTAGTGTGAAAACAGCAAAGAAAACTTGCTTGAAACTTGTTGGTTTCTTCGAGTTTGGTAATCTGGAGATGAGTTTTCATCGGCACTTTGATCATATTGTTCATTATTTCTATTTGACGAGCGACGTTTAGACGAACCTTGACGCTTTCGCTCCTCTGAAGATTGACTACTGCTACTACTTCGATCATGAGAATGGCGAGAGAGGTTGCGAGAGGCACGTCGATCGTCGTAGATGTGACCATTAAATTCAGATTCACTTGCATGCATTGAATCCCCCGGATTTGAAGGCAAAGAATGCCTAGAAGCAAAACAATCTTATCAGTAAAATCTTGGGACATGTAGTGACAGAATTACTTCATCAATTTACTACAGCATACAACGGTACAACCAGCATGGAAAATTGTTGAAACATTTACAACTTGATTTCTCTTAGAAGGACTAGCTATAGCATAGATCTGTAAGTTACCCAAATAGCTCGTTAAGAGAAACGAATTAGTTTTTAAAAATTTACGTTCGACATGAAACCCACTTACATAAATATCTTTGAAAATCTTCGACATTGTATTTAAGGGATATGAACAGTTTAATCTTACCGGGTTTTTGGTAGGAGCTACGCGTAAGGTTTTGCACGAAACACTTGGTGAACCAAAGAACTACCAGTTGCGAAAACTGGCCATATAAGGACGCTGACACCAAGGGCTATTAATTTCAGAATAGAGAAGTATATTTCTGTATATATTTAGTAAGCTTAGAGATTTTGTTTGCTACCACTTCAGCATGTTACCAAATCATCTTCCACCAAATGTTTTACTGACAATCTTGTCAACTAGGTGTGATACTACAAGTTAGTGGCACTAAACATAATGCTACTACCGGTCACAAACAATTCAACTGGTCCACTATGAAAAATTCGGGATAGGGACACACGTTGTTGCCTTTTCGTCGTTTCAGCCTACGCTCCCGCTGACTGCAACTCGGATGAAGTGGAAGATGAGTTTTACAGAAAGCTTTCTGAATTTCTTCAAAAAGTTAAACACTCAGAGATACTCGTAACAGGCGACTTTAATGCCAAGGTAGGAAGCTTAAACCGAACAGAAAGACATTTAGGTGGATATTTTGGTATTCCGGCTCAGCGAACAGATAATGGCGATCGTCTGCTGCAACTGGGCTCAGACAATCGTTTATTTTTAGTAAGCACTAATTGTAAGCATGAGGAGAGACTGTTATATCTAAGCGAAGATTAATTTACGAGTAACTTTTGAGAACTATTAGGACTAATATTATCTATACATGCTTATGGTAAAACTATTCAGTAATTAGGTTATGTATACCTATATTCCTCTTATAATAAGCCTCATTTTGACTTATAAATTATTATTATTATACGATTGACTGTTCTTATGTTCAGTTTATGAATTAGTCTCCCACGTTCATAGCCACTTTTTGGCTTTATTGTGTACAATTTTTTATTTTATGGTGTGATGTGATCTGTTTGTCTGGTATATAAACCAAGTATGTTTGAAACAAATGATTCGCATAGCGGAAGCTGTTATTGTTTTGGGCTCAGTTGGACGAACTAGGCGAACAAAGGACCAATAAGGACGCTAGACTGATCAGACAGGTCGAACGTCATTGGTTTATTACAGTACAAGAGGGAATAAGTACTTCGATTGGCGAAATATTTCTGTGATAACTAGTCGAACTTAAGGTCACAACAGACATCGTCTAACATGGTAACCCCCTGTGTCAAACCAACGATGGACTCAAATAGACCATGTAGCCATCAGTCATCTTTGGAGAGGCTCGACAGAAGACTGTTTGGACTCCGACTATGCTAATACGAGCATGCACTTGCTTGCGCCCCACTGGACGCAGAAAAGGAACATTAAGAAGACCCACTAAAGTTGAATTAAGTGACGAGAAAGCTAAAAGTAGATTCCAGGAACTAAGGTCACACTTAGGTAGTTCTGAAAACAAGGCTGACCCGGATGGTGCTTGGAGAGATACACAAACAGCTGTGGAAATAGAAGTGACATTAGTGATTTAAACCAAAGGGTCACAAGAAACTAATTGATCTCTTCTAAGTCTACTGAACTGGTGGATTCTTGTAAACTCATTCCATCAGACTCTGAACACGATGAAGAACAAAAACAAACCAGATCTAGGTTAACCAAAAGTCTAAGGAACGACCGCGAGCACTGGTGGGCAACGAAAGCAAAAGAGACAGAAAAGACGGAGACTGTATATAACACAAGACAGCTTTTCAGGCTAATGAAAGGAACGAACTAAGAAGTCAAGTGTGAGACGATCAAGGAAAAGGATGGCACTCTTTTCTGCTCTCAGCTCAGACGTTTGGAACGACGGGCGCAACACTTTAAGCAGCAGTTTATCTGGCCTTCAGCGACTCTACAACTACCCACCACCCCCAAACAAAACAAATGGAATACTGAAGTAGGCCCCCCGACTCTAGCCGAAATTCACAAGGCTATAGATAATCTGAAATGACGAAAAACATCTGGTCCAGATGGATTGACTCCAGAGGTCTTCAAGTATGATGGTCCAATTTTAGCGATTAGGTTAGCTGTTCTAGACAAAATCTGGGAGTTGGACGTAATCCCATCTGACAGTTCGCAATCACTGGTTGACCCAATATAAAAGGGAGCGAAATCATCCTGAGATAACAATGGAGTGATTAGTTCGACTAATATAGCATCTAAAATACTAGCTTCAATAATTATCGGACGCCTAACAAAGACTCGTGAACTGTAAACACATATGTAACCTGTGCAAGTAAAGAACATGGTTAATTTGCATTTATTTGAGCATTAATAAAACTACTCCATGAGTTGTTTTCATCTGTCAGGTAAATAATACCAGATACAGGTGATCGATGGGTTAATAACTCTGTGACATTGTAGACACTTGGGTTATTCATACCTATCCATCACCTGCATGAAACTTCGTTGTTTAATATGTGGAAACAGCATATCCTATTAAGACAGAAATTGCATGGCTAATTGATAGTCTTTGGATGAAGTGACCGAGTCTCAAATACTAGCCTCAATAATTATCGGACGCCTAACAAAGACTCGTGAACTGTAAACACGAGAAATCAAAGCCGATCTCGGACCTGGTCGTGGGTGCATCGATCACATATTCACTATTCGTCAGGTTCTACAACACAGGCATACTTATCAGCATCCGACAATGGTGGTCTTTCTTGACTTGAAAGTAGCATTTGACTCTGTAGACCGAGAGGCATTGAAAGATATACCTCAGAAGTCAGTCAGTCAGTCAGCTACAACGTAGGACCAGGCACATATGTGCATCGGTCCAGGTTGCCATACCTCATTAGCACAGCAAGATGAACAGCGGATTCATAGGAGTGGTTAGGTCAAAGGTTGCAATAAGGATATAGATTAGGAAGAAAGAATTAGTTCGTAGAAAGAAAGATATGAAGTGATTTTAGTCTCTTAGTTTAAGGGAAGACAGGGAGTGTATACACCGACGCTATTGTGATCGATTCTGAGCCATGTCACCAAGTCTCCAACCATTGGTTACGAAAGTCACGCGGACCCCAACCAAGTAGTCTGCATCTACCAACATGGCTCAGACTAGAAGTTAGTGACTTCAGGCACTGATGCCACGTTTTGGTTTGGCCGCCCCTAACTTTCTTCCAACCATCCCCTACACCGGTTAGCATTGCAGGTCGTGGTAATCGGTGTTCAGAAGTACACAAATAGTGTGAAGGCTCTTTACTAGAACACTATCTGTCGAGTCAGAGCTTATGGCTAACTGTCATCTGGTTTTGCAGCCTCAAGTGGTGACCGTCAAGGCCGTCCACCTGAACTAAGGATAAAGAGTGAAGTAGTCGAACGCGTAGACAACCTCACTAATCTTGGAAGTCTGATCATCCCTAATGGATCGGTTTCTGACGAAATCTCTACACGGCTTCAAAAAGCTCGTTTGGTTTTCGTCAACCTACGTCACCTATGGTGAAGACCAGTACATTGCGCAGTAGTTTGTTGTTTTACGTCACGGCTGTGAAACGTGGCGATTAGGAGTAGAAGATACTCGCAAGTTGCTAGTATTTGGTCATAGATATCTCAGAAATATTGCGCACATCTGTTGGGATCACCGGGCAAGTCCCGACCGAAGCTGCTACCTTGACGCGGTGGTCGGGCTTGCCTATCGTGATGACCCGACCGAGCTATATTGGCTGTAACATATATTCCTGTAGGTTCTACCATACAAGACAGATCGATTGGAGAACGGTAAGACTAAAAGCAGCAATTCAAGGTATGAGGGCGAAGTCGTATTGCTGACTGTAGACAGGTATGACAGCAGTAAGGTGTTTCCCTCGGACAACCAGCATGACAGCGATGCTGCCTTCCCACAAGGAGGGGTGGGGTTAGAAAAGGTCGACCATAAAAATGTCACACCTCACCTTACCTCACGGATTTCCGTCTCCGGCGGTAAGGCCCTTTGAAGAACGGAGCTAACAGATTAAAAACCTTCCACAAAAAGGCCGTGCACGACCGGCCTTAAGCAGTTATCCCTTGGGCTCTGCAGTCACGCTCCCAGGTCGTTAAGACCAACACTAATCCAATTTCCTTTTCAGGTTCCTCAAGAAATACCCTTCCACGAGCTAGGCAGCTGGGAAGTGATAACCGCCCTCATACCCGTAACAGCACACGAGACCAAGTTGGTCACATTTAAATCCCTCCTACACCTCCTAATACCTTTCTTATCTCCATGACTAACCCTCCTCACGTCTTTCTATCACCTCACACCGCTAGGGCAAACGATTCGAGTACGCGGAACGCTATTCCTGGTCTCCTGAAACCACGCTCTAAACTACACGTAGGAGCTTTTAACGTCCGAACACTTTGCCAAATAGGACAACAGGCTTCCTTAGCTAGGACTTTAGAATCCCGCGCCATTGACGTGTGCTGCGTCTCCGAAACGCGCATACAGGATCCGAGAAGCGTCATTCACTTGACCTCACCATGCCAAAATAAAGAACCGACTCGATTCACACTTCGTGTATCTGGAAGCCCAGATTCTGCTTCCCATGGCCTCACCGGCGTAGGTATAGCATTGAGTCCTAGGGCAGAACTAGCTCTCTTAGAGTGAATCCCAGTAGACAGTCGTTTGTGCGCTGTCAGACTAAACGGAATAGTAAGGATCCGAAAAGATAGGGACACTCGTCGTTGCCTCTTCGTCGTTTTTGCCTATTCTCCCACTGACTGCAGCGCAGATGATGTAAAAGTTGAGTTTCACAGAAAGCTTTCCGACTTCCGAAAAGCTAGGTGCTCGGATGTAGTAATCGTGGCCGGTGATGTTAATGCTCAAGTAGGTAAACTAAGCGATAGGGAAAGACACCTGGGTGGATTTTTTGGTGTCGTGGCTAAAAGGGGCTCGATAGAAGACTGTCGCTCACTCTGGAGTACATGCTTAGATTCAGATCATGCTCTAGTGCGAGCGCGTATTTGCTTGCGTCTCACTGGACGTAGGAAAGACGCTGCAAGGAAACCTCTTAGGGCCCTACTTAATGATAGCCAAGCTAAGAGTAATTTCAGGAACAACTAGGAAAACGGTTAGGCAGCCATGTATGTGATGCCCACCCCGATGCAGCATGGAATGATATCCGAAAAGCTGTGGAAACAGCAGTGATATCTGCTTGTAAGGTAAACCATAAGGTTAGAAAGCAACACTAGATCTCAGCAGCATCTATCGCACTGATAGATGCTCGGAAACTCATTCCACCTGGCTCTGAACATAATGAAGAGCGGAGTCAGCTTAAGCGAAAGCTGACAAGAAATCTAGGCAATGATCGCGAACAGTGGTGGGTAGCGAAAGCAAGAGAGATGGAAAAGGCAGCGGCAATAGGTAATAGCCGACAATTGCTCAGACTCGTTAAGGAAACCGGTATTAGGAAACCGACTGTTAGCAATACAATCTCAGAGAAAGATGGACATATTATACATTCTCAATCCAGGAGATTAGATCGATGGGCAGAACACTTTGGGGGTCAGTTCAACTGGCCTTCAGATACACGTCGGTTTCCCACGATCTCCAGTCTACCTGAATGGCAAGTTAATGTCAGTCCTCCGACTCTTTGCGAAGTGGAAAAAGCTATAAAAAATCTGAAGCGAGGGAGAGCAGCAGGCCCTGACAGGTTTACTCCTGAGATTTTTAAGGATGGTGGTCCAGTATTAGCAATGAGATTAACCGAGGTCTTAGGTAGAATTTGGGAACTGCACGTAATCCCATCTGACTGGTCTCAATCACTGATTGTGCCAGTCTAAGAAAGAACAAAAGTCCTCCTGTGACAATCACAGAGGAATCAGTTTGACTAATATAGTGTCTAAAATATTAGCATCAATAATACTTCGACACCCAACGAAAGCTCGTGAAGAGCAGACTAGAGAAAATCAGGCTGGTTTTCGACCTGGACGTGGTTGTATAGATCAGATATTCACACTACGTCAGGTTCTAGAACACAGACACACATTCAGACGCCCCACAATGGTAGTATTTTTCGACCTTAAGGCGGCATTCGACTCTGTCGATCGTGAGGTTCTATGGCAGTGTTTGTCATTGAAAGGAGTACCAAAGAAGTACATTAACCTTGTAAAGGCTCTCTACTCGAACACAACTGGTCGAGTGAGACCTTATGGCGAACTGTCATCAGAATTAATTACCTCAAGTGGTGTTCGTCAGAGTTGTCCACTCTTTCTATTCTTGTTCAACTTTGTCGTCGACGTACTTTTAGAGAACACACTTTCCTCGTCTAGATTTTCAGGGGTTGAACACCTACCAGGAGATTCACTTATTGACTTGGAATATACCGATGACAGTTCTGTTTGGTGAAGACGCTGACAAAATGCAGAATCTTCTGACCACTCTAAGCAACAACGCAAGCATGTTCGGGATGCGATTCTCTTCCTCGAAATGCAAAATGTTGCTTCAGGATTGGGTTACATCGACACCCGAACTAGTGATAGGGAGTGAAGTAGTTTAGAGTGTTGACCGCTTCACTTATCTTGTGAGTCTCATCAGCCCTTATGGTCTGGTGTGTGACGAAATCTCAGCACGGATACAGAAGGCTCGACTAGCTTTTGCCAACGTGCGTCATTTATGGTGTAAGCGAGATATCCATCTACCAACCAAAGGACGTTTACTGCGCAGCAGTTCGTCCCGTCCTACTTTATGGCAGTGAAACATGGCCGGTAAGAGTAGAGGATATCCGTAGGTTACCAGTATTCGATCATAGGTGTCTTCGAAACATTGCTCGTGTATCCTGGGACCATCGAGTAAGTAACACAGTGGTTAGGAAACGGGTACTAGGCAAGGATGGCAAATCAATTGATGACGTAGTGAAACTTCATCAGTTGAGATGGCTGGGACACGTGTTACGTATGCCCAACGACCGACTGCCTCGACGTGCTATGTTCAGTGGTATAGGAGTAGGTTGGAAGAAAGCTAGGGGCGGCCAAACCAAAAGATGGCACAAGTCCATGAAGTCACTGGCAAGTGGAATGAGTCATGTTGGTAGGTGTAGACTACCTGGTTGGGTACCACGAGATGATAGCAACCGATGGTTAGAGACCCTGAATGAAATGGCTCAAAATCGTTTGCAATGGCACAGGTGCATCCACTCTCTGTGTTCTCCCTAATTCTGAATTCTTCATGTCCTTTTTTCCTCTTTCCAAATTTATTTCACTGTATTATACCCTTTAAATAACATCTCCAAACCCTAATCTTCCCGATTACTGTTTATACTCTTGTTACCTTTACCACTACGGGATTTGAATCGACAACTGCATCTCTATGCTAAGGTGTTGTGGCAACTCGAACTGATGTACGTACGTACGAAGTCATACGTTGTTACTGACTGACTGGCCAGGCAAGTAATAGTGAAGTTCGATGCAAGGTATTAGGGAATGATGACAAGTCAGTTGATGAGGCTCTGAATCTACATCAACTGAGATGGTTGGGCCACGTATTATGCACACTTAACTACTGATTACCACGACGCGCAATGCTGATTAGTGTTGAAGACGGTTGGAAGAAAGTTTGGGGCGACCAAACCAAAACGTGGCATTAGTTCTTTAAGTCACTAACTTTTCGTCTGGGCTATGTTGGCAGATACAGACTACTTGATTAGGGTCCGCGCGACTGTCGTAACCAATGGTTGGAGATCCTGCGTTACGTGGCTCAAAATCGACCACAATGGTGTAGGTGTATACACTGTTTTCCCTATTACCGTGCGACTATAATTGCTCTATAGTTTGCTTTCCAAGAACTAATTATTTTTCTTGTTATATCCTTATACAGTCGTCCTTTTATATATTACTACTACTGAAGTAACTGCTATGAATTTGGTGTTCGTTTGTGCTGAGGTGGGGCAACTTGGACCGATACATATATGTGACTGTTTCTACATTGTAACTGACTGACTATCCATCAAGACGCAGAGGACATTGGACTTTGTTACAACTGCCCGAATCAACAGCCCTTAAATCCATGCCCGTGGCTTCCCTTAAACTACTAGGTTTGTTAACATACATTCAACTGTAACTCTACATACTTCACTACTACTACTTACAATTTTGATAAAAAAACTGAGCCTGCAATTTTTCGAGACAATGTTTTAGGGAAGAAACAATTACATTTAGAGTGAAAGGTCCTGGATTTCGGTACGAAATCTACTCACCTAATAGGCTAAATATTTCGTGACGAAAAATCTCAAATATAATCCCTAGCCTTAAACATCAACGGCTAATCATTATCCTTACTCTTCAAACTGCTTTATAATCTTTATTCAGCCCTAGTAAATAGGTAAACACGCTCAAGGTCACTTTGACCTCCCTCAAAGGTCGTCGATAAATAATAGTCTCATATTTTCTTACAACATGCAGCACTTTGTAAACAGACTTGCTGTCTATCGTACTTGCGAAAATTGTCTGGATAGACGACACTCGAAATACTGTAAGTTACTAACATTAGGAAACACCCAGGTCTACCGATGCAAGTTACGTGCACGAAATACCATATAAAGTTAGTGTACGGCAAACATGCGAGACAATTTACCTTGTACGAGATACTGATCTTGACCGAGATCTGCCTGAATTACTAGCGCTCCTTGACGATGACCCTGTGAATGATCGACTTCTTGATACACTTCTCCTTTCCGTGCTTCTTCTGTCTGTGCTGCGTTCCGTGCTTCTTCTATCTGTACTTCTACGATCCATGCTTCTACGGTCTAAGCTCCTACGATCCGCACTTCTGCGATCCATGCTTCTACGGTCTCTGCCGTTATCTCTATACCCCCGACCGCCTGAGGAGGAAGAGCCCGTCCGGATCCGTCTAGCATCACCATAGTTTCCAGGAGATGGTATACTCTTTTCTAAGCCTCTGAAACCCCGTTGGTTTGGAGGAAAGCGTCTAACCTGACGCCGCTCTTCATACACTGGAAAAGCAACTTCGGGTGAATTTCGCAAATTACTCTTTGCTCTAGCTTTTTTGAGGTCCTTGAACCAAGTTAGCTCTACAGGGTAACCAAACATTGTTTTACCGTTGTGTCTGCAAATTAGATGAATGTAAGGCTTACCGACGAAGCATCTCGCTGGCAATCTCGTGGGACTTAAACCGTATGGCAACTGAGAATCTCTTCTTATCTTCTGAGGTAGAAAAAAATTCCACCGAGCACCTGGAATTTGTTTCATTACAGAAGAAGTCCCTGAACGTTAGCTAAGAAAGAAGCGTCTTACTTCACTTTAGTTACATCTGTCGTTCCTGGAAGCCCTCTAATAAAGAGGGTGTGCCGACTAGGTAGGACATTACGAGGGTTGAGTCTATCAAACTGAGGTCTACGATACATTCTTCACAATTACAATAGGCGGCTAGTTATGTCAGAACCCATTAAAACAAACTGATGGAATAGTCTCTGGAAATACCAAGCTTTGTGTAACAAACTTTTGAACTTCTAACCTCAAAAACTTTTCTAGGGCGGAAAAGAGAACACTTTTTATGCTCTTTGTAGGTGCTCCCTCCTTCCATATTGGTTGGTGAAGCCTATTGGCTTATCTGGACGCTGAATGATGACATGCTCTTCCACATTTTACATCCGGTGATTGCAGATCTTTTGTGAACCGAGTGTTAATGATTATTTTTAATATATTTGACCAATGTAGTTTTTTAAAGTTCATCGGACTTCATGGTCTTCTGTTTGCTTATATTCTATTTTTTCGTGTTCACGTCTTATCTCTTAACCTGCGTAGACCGTTTCACTCGATGGCCAGAAGCAGTACCTATCAAGGACATCACTGCTGAAACAGTGGCCCGCACCTTCGTCGAACGATGGGTAGCAAACTTCGGCTGCCCTTCAACTATCCTACAGACCGCGGACGTTAGTTTGAATCTGATCTTTTCCGTCGTCTGACCACACTTTTAGGAATCACTCGATTCCGAACGACCGCCTACCACCAACAAGCAAACAGGTTGGTAGAACGTTTTCACCAACAACTAGAAGCTTCACTATCAGCTGCAAACGTTTCACAGTGGACCGACGCTCTTCCACTTGTCTTACTAGGTATTCGCAATGCAGTGAAAGCTGACATTGGATACACTGCGGCTCAACTCATCTATGGAACGACACTTCGACTTCCAGGAGAATTCGTGGATCCTTCATCCTCTTCAATGAACATGGATCTAACCTCCTACACGAACAGGCCCACAAACGCAATGCGTTCAGTTAAACCTGCTTCCACTCGACCTCAATCAACTGATGTTTTCGTTCAACCTGACTTACGACATAGTACACACGTTTTCGTTCGTCGAGACTCGCATCGACGTCCATTCGAATCAGCATACGAAGGACCATTCAAAGTTCTTCAACGTGAATCTACGCACTATGATACTCCGAATGTATCTGAAAATAAACCTAAAACGACGCGTTCTGGAAGAAGAGTAAGATTTCCAGAACATTTAAACGACTACTGCACGTAAGGCACTACTCGACATTTTATATTATCTCGATTTTTCTTTTTACGATATAATATTAAAAAAACAATTTTAATATGCCTATATATTTATATGTTTATTAAAAAAAACAAAAACCAAAAAAGTTATTTTTTAAACGCTATTACGTGTGCTTGAGTTTATTTTCCATTTTTTTGCCGACATTGTGTTTTTACGCACATACGAGTGTATTTCGACATGCACTTACATTTTCTTTTTTCTGTTCCAGGACGGCTGGATAAGAACGATGCAGTTTACAAGGAGTCGAAATTTTCGTTGTAACTTTTTCCTTTTTTTACTATGTTGTACCTCGGTCCCATTTAGTACGGAAAGACGACCAGACGCTGCTTAACTTAGTAAGCTATCAGAAGAGTGTTTACGAACGACAAACTCGCTGGGTTTAAACTTCTGTTTGGCCACGTCTTAGGGTCGTCACTGCCCCACTAGGAGGGGGAGTGATCTGTAGCGGTAAATAAATCCCCAAAATAAATAGCTCTAAGTTTTCGACATTGCATGCTGACCATATGTTTTAGTGGACTCATCTAGCTGAAGGCGCTAGGTCAGGCATCCCCACCAGATCACGTGTGGTAACGCCGTGCTCAACATCAACCGCAATCGCTAGCCAGATTAGATCAGAGAATTCCGATATATTGGTAATCGCCAAATACACTCTTCCGATCTCCTCGACTCTGTCTTTTGATTTCTCTGGGTGGGAGCGAATTATATTAGGTGTTACTGGTAAAAGCGTTGTCAAACACTGAATACCTGTGACATCCTCAACATGATAATATCTGTGGTGATGGCGCATTTGTTTACTGGTAGAAAACATTTGATTACAGCTTTCGGTCGGGAATTTGTAAATTAAAGCTCATTTTACAACTATGGTGGGCTCATAACTATCGAATTTATCTAGTATTACTGTTTGGGATGTCTAACCAGTTATTAGTTAGTTGTTCGTTGAGTGCTTGTATGTATGCTTGTAGTTGCCTGATTTCGCACACGTATCGTTAATCATTTTCCACATGATTTCTTTCTTTCTTTGTTTGGATGTGTATGATAGGTCCAGTCTATTTTGTTTTATTTCCCCAAATAAGTTTGATAGGTTAATGTCATGTTTTATTTCATCAACTATTTTTTGGACGAGACTATAATTCCTGTACAAAACGATCAGAACTCAACACTATTTCGTGTTCCGTTGCTTCTTCAGGTTGTAGTACTATTGTTTGTAAACAGTATATCAAGGCACGTGTATGATAAATATAAATATTCGAAATAACTGCTAAGGACTCTCGAGATAGCGTAATTTAGGCCAGACAGAACTAGATAAGTACAAATAAGGGTATCAAAGAATATGAAGTTAATGACCAGAAATCCTCTAAATGGAAACATTGGTAAGCTTGATTGTGACGTCGGAATTTAATGACTTAAACTTCCCAACCGATACGATGAACTTCATAGTGTCGGTGACATCAGTAAAATCGTGAAAAACAGCACTAAACAGATATAATCGTTCCTGAATCTAAAACGAATTGCTGGAAGTTGTAAATAAGGATAGTATATTCCAGGAAGTAATTTTCTGAACATTCATCTCTAAACTATCCCTTAGATTTTCGAAAAGAGTCTTAGCTTAGCCAGCGCTATTCGACTTGATAAACTTTGTTTCTAAAACACTAATCAACTGTTAGTATACGAAATAAACAATTAATGCAATCTATTAAACAAGGGGAAAGAGAGATATAAATAACATGCCGAACGGTAGCTAAAGGATAGAAAAGCGAGTCATCAAAGAGAATGCTGTTTTATGATAAGCATAAAATTGTGATTGATGACTGAGCTATGCATAGTCATGCAAAGTCAAGGAGAGTTAATGTGGCGGTGGACGTTTTATGCTGTCATTGGTGGGTTAGTTTATCGTTCGTACATTACACTCCATCCGAAACACACCACGCTCATCGTCCTAGGTCGTTGTCAGATACACGGCTTCTTCAAGTATGCATAGACTTTGTAAATTTCGAACGAATTCTTTGTTTGTCGTTCTCAGCTTTACCGTAAGAACTTGTTCGTCAGGTTCACAGCTTACTTGTCCAACAATGGCTTCAAGCCATGAACGTCTACTTGATTTAATATTGCTAACGAGTACTAGGTCTCCTAGTTGTAAATTCTTTTGTACGTTCGACCATTTATCTCTTGTTTGGGGGGAGGTCTACAGATATTCTTTTATCCATCTATTCCAAAATGCGGTGGTTAACCTCTGCGCTTCCTCCCATCTTCTTTTAATAAAGTCCCGCCCGCAGAAACATCGTCAAATGACAATCCTTTATAAGTCAATAACAATTTATCCGTAGTGGCAGTCTCTAGGATACCAGGGTCATCAGTCATTTTTAGTAGTGGTCTGTTGTTTAATATCCTTTCGGCCTCGGTCAAAAATGTTCGCAAGGTTTCATCAGTCAGCACATCTTCAAATAAAAACACTCTTAAAATTCTTTTAGTTGATCTATTGATGCGCTTCTACACTCCATCTCGATGACTTGCCCTAGGTGTGTTGAAACGCCACTCACACCCCAGTCCTTTGAGGTAATTCTCTATCCCATGAGTATAGAATGTGTCTCAAAATAGCATCTACGCCTCTAAAAATTGAAACCCTACTGGCAATAAACCTTGATAATCTGCATAAAAATGAAATCCGTGTCTAAAGAGTAAGACTTTTTATTGTGAACAGCTCGGATAGACAGGTACGTGAATAAACAACCTTAACGTTTCTCCACGACTCTTTCTCATTTGGTGTACAGTGGTCCGAATTAGTCCACACCAACTGAGCAAAATGGTGGTGAATGGGCTTCTACTCAGCATTCCGGAGTAGGTACCATTATTTGGGAGCACGGTGTAGAAGAGAGTCATCTAAATAGATAGCGGTGTTTTAGAACTTTCCTTACGGTAGAGTAGCCTCTAGCAATCCAGTACTTTTCACGGGGACCACTTAAGTTTAGGGTAACTCTGACATGTACATTGAGCAAATGATGATGAATTATAATCAGATCAGTAACAAACTGTTTATTCGAAAGTATAACCGGATGTTTGGTTTCAAAGGGCAGGCATGATAATTGTAGACGTTCGCCTACGCGGATCATTTCCTCTAACATAAAGAGGTTGAAATTTTCTATCGAACTGTGACAAATTACATTTTCTCTCTTGATCATCTCGTTTATTCTTTCTGGGCCTTCTTTCTGTCTAGAAGTGTTTTGTTCGAGCATTCACGGTGGTTTGTACCAGAGCAGGCAGTTTGATCAACAAACCTGAAGGGGCACTGAAACTTACCATGGGAATCTTATTTCACCACAAACAATTTTGACATTGCGATTTCCCATTCGTACCACAACCTGACATATTGCCTTGACTGTACTGATCTAATTACCGACCATGTGGCTTATAATACCGATAGGGGCCAGAATACTTTCAAAACCTTCAAGAAAAAGCTTAGAAACACCGCTACCACAAGCATCATAACGTGTATGCTCTCCAGAGGATACTTAACTTGATCGACAAAAATGATTAATCTAAACACAGGTATCTTATGACCATGGAGAATAAAGTCCTACGTAGTAAAAGCCCAGAAATATAAGCACTTCGGCTTTTCAAATCCAATGTGAAATCAAATTCCCTTGGCACGACCAAATTCTGCATAGTACACGGAAGCACTATTGACGACCATGATACTATTTGTGAACAATTCAATCAGCATTTCCCGCAATGCTACAACACCGAAACCGAAACCTCCATCAGTACGTTTCCAAAGTTGGCATCTGAACATCTATCTAAAGTTGGTTTCATGTCCACCAACATCAAGCAGGCTATAACTGCGCCGGAAAAGTCCAATGACAGTGGACTTGATGGAATTCCCTCATTA